TGCTATCAAATTTTTTAAGGTCATTTTTGTTGGGGGCCCCTAAAGTTCGGGGGCCCCCCGTCTCTGGACACCCTGACACCCTCCCGTTACGCCACTGGATTCGTTGTCTATAAAACGAGTGAGGGTGTCAAAATTACCGTCGGACAATACTAATGTCTGGTTTAGGCACGAGTTTCAACCACTTATATTAATTCGAAATTTAACGATATTTAACGATATTCACCTTGTGAAAATGCCTACATTTTAGTGGGAGCTATATTCCTATAGCTACAATACTGAGCGAGAAAATGTTGTCTAAACGACGGGATCAAAATAACACAACGTAAAGAAAAGTTTAATGCAACATAAACATATGACATTTATTCGACTATATCTGTGCGAATATTACAGTTACAATAATTTTATGCATATTGTCAGATAGCTGGTGAATTCAGCTACATTTTGGTATGAGCTATAGTATTGTAGCAAGAGAATATTGAGCGAGAATTCGTTGCCTAAACGAGGGTGTAAAAATTGCCGTCGGAATACACATCAGTAGTCGGACAATATAATGTCCGGTTTAGGCACGAGTTTCAACCGCTTATATTAATTCGAAATTTAACGATAGTCGTATATTCCTGTAGCTACAATATTGAGCGAGAAAACGTTGTCTAAACGACGGGGTCAAAATCACACATCGAGAGTTTTAGCTTGACGTTTAGCAAACGTCAAACCGCTAACGAAGTTTTTGATTTTACAAGTCTATTATAACAGCTTTTACACCAGTTTTGAAATATAAACAATTATTAAATTTGTGCTCTTTAGCAATGATTTAAAAGAAAGCAAATTAACCACTAGTCACGTATTCGCGAAAGCAGTAAATTATGATTTGGCGTTTGAAGTTTACGTTTGGCGTATAAATTTCATCTTGCCAGCCACACCACGAGACTGATTCGGGAAGAAACCGGAAGTTATGCACTGAAACGAATCATACGTCACAAAACGTCATCAATCCATTGTTCTAAAATCTCGATTTTTTCTCCCTGTCTCCTCCACATAACTCGCGGAAAGCCTGGGACCGACAGAATTAGTTTGCACAATTAAATTCGCTAATTTTGCAACAATTATTAGCACAATTAAATTCGCTAATTTTGAGCCGATAATTTAGGTTAACTTCAACAACTTGTCGGGGCGAAACAAAATAACCCAGCGCTGTAGTAATCTCACGCGATGTTAATTGCTATCTTAATATGTAACAGGTAGAGTTTCAGCCATTATTGTTCGGGTTTTTGATTTTTATTGAAGTTATTTTTGGAACACATAGAAAATCTCTCTCAAAATACGTTCACTGTAAACTAATTGTTTTTCATGTGCGACGAAATTTTTTTTACTAAAAAACAACCCATAATTGCCTTTAAATGGTGTATTTTGTGAATCGTTTAAAATTTTCTTGGGGAAATTATTTTTCGTGATGCAGCGCGTCCCCAAAGTTGTAAGAAATTTACAAATTTTGCCTGTCGGCAAGATCAATCAATTTATATATTGTGTACATATGTAGCGTTTATAAAAGCGGCTCAGTGTTTGTATTTTAAATTAAGAACAAACTGAATGTTCTACATTGTAAAAGTAACTGACTAATCACAAACTATGTTAAATTCCTTTTTTAAATACATCGATTGACCCATATAGCATCTACTAGTAAGTGCATAATATTGGTGTCTATTTCTGTCTATCGTCAAACTCACATTTTAATTATAGGAGTTATTTCAACAAAACGAATATTTTATGTATAATAAACAAACCGGACGTAATTCATTGACATTTTCAAAATTTCCTGTCCTTTTCAGCTACTCGTCTTTTATGCTTATCATTCCGGATACGTTATCGAGGGTTTACTAATATTAGTATAAAGATGATTCTCTTTAAATAATAGAATATTCTGACGTGTTTACCTTTGACGCCATATCATTGTAATCTAGTTCAGCAACCGCAACTTTGAACCAGTTTTTCTAGCAAATCAATGTACGGTTTTTTGAATTTGCGCTTGCCAGTGCTGTCAGTAATATTAAGTTCGAATGAAGAACAAATTTCTTGTAGCATGTAAACAGAGAATTTGGAAAGTTTTCTTTGACTTGTTAATTCACAAATATTGTGCCTATCGAACATTATTGGATGCTTCAGGCCAATTGCGTCAATCAAGGAAGCTGATAATTCTTCGATTTCTTGTCCTTTTCTCTTTTCGAAATCTTTCTTATTTAAATCGTCTTCCTCGTAGTCATTGTCATCACCATCACCCCTTTCTTCATTATCTTTATCGCCCGCTGTATTTTCCCTTCTTTTTTTCGCCAATCGTGAGAAGAAACTTGCAATCTGCTGCGGTGTTAAAAAGTCGCCCTTGTTAAAAAGTCGCGAGCCGTCGCTGTTTCTTGTAGATCTCATTGCTGTTGACACATCACCTGGATCGGCTTTTCGCCCTGTTTGCTCTCCAGCATCAAACACGTCAACCAGGTACTTCTTCTGAACATCGGAAAACCGCTTTCCTTTAGAGGAAGTTCTCAAAGCCCAGCCCATCTGAAGTTCAGGGCCAATATCTGGCTCCGGCAACTCGACGCTCTCTGACTCCGTTGGTATCGGGTTTTTACTGGATCCTTCTTCCAGTTTTGTTGCATATCGCTTCATAGCCTTGTCATAAAGGGTTTCATGCTCTAGTACGTAGGTATGGTTGTCACAATGCAAATGTCTTTCTAAAGAAGAGTACCTGTGGAATGATTTAATGCAGCCTTGTTCAGGGCAGAGAAATAATTTGCTGTATGTGTCGACTCTTTCATCGTTACTTTCGTCCTCCATTGGATCAGTATTATTTTGTTCGCGAGATTTCTTTGGTTGTTGTCTTGCTTTCACTGCGACGAATGATACTGTGTCCTCGGTTTCCTCGCTATGGATAAGTTTTGGTACCGTTGGGGTCGACAGAAATTGGTCAAAGGAAGGATTGCGCTACTCTGTGTTGTTAATGAGACTCACACCATCCCATTCCCCTGCCATTCCCTTGACACCAGGTGGTGGAGCGCACACTGTTACTTTCACTCCTGGGATGCCTTCAAAGGACTCGATTTCTGCCTTCATTTGCTCGGGTTTTTCGATATCGTTCCCTGAATTCAGGTATTTATTCATGTGATTTTTAATATGAACTGCCTTTCGGTCGCACGCTCCCTTCCCCCTTGGGGATCGGAAAAATCGATACGTCTGATTTGAATTCCAGTTGATCTCTCTATCGTTGGCAGAGAAAGCAGAGCTAATGCAGAGTGGTAGCACCCTGCATTATCTTGACGCAGATATACGGTATGCACATCTGGTGCAATGGTTGAGAGCTGACTTAAGACGTCATGAATGATTGCAACAACAGCGCCACTATCCTGGCTACTAGACTTAAACAAGTCCAAAAAAGTAAGAACTTGGAGGTCGCCATCATCATTCTTCTTTGTTAATACCGCTATGTGCCAAGGAAGTCCCCGTTTTGCAAACCAATCTCTTTGGCTTTCACGGTATTTGCGAGGAATGAATTTCATTGCCCAGTCTAAAACGATAAGTGCAGAATGAGAATCCAAGACGTTTAAAATGTCGTGTCGTGCTGCGTCCTGATTAATTGATCTTAAAATATGTGCTTTCCAGGATCTAATGTGTTGAGCTGCTTGTGTAGTAACGTACTCCATGTTTTCTTTCTCTTCAAGAGGGCAATTTACTTCTTCCAAAGATGCGCAAATATCAGCTAGAGTCTCAGGAAATATACTGCATCTATCACACTTTCCCTTGTGCTCATGATCACAGCTGGTGGTATAATTTTTATCATTTGGAAAACTGAGAGCATATGTTCTGCAGTGGTCCGCAACTTCAGAATTGCTAGAAATGTGAATCTAAAAAGAATATATGAATCAGATACAAAATCAACTATTCTAGGATGATTCTTACATGCGCGAATCTACAAAAAATCCAATAAGCTTTCACTTGTTTATACCTTGTAGTCTCCTTTTAAGTAACGTTTAGCATCTTTGAGTTTTTGGTTTGTTTGTTTGGCCCATGCCAAACCCTTGCCATAACGATCTCCAAGCATGTCAACGACGTTCTCTAGATCATCAAAGGCCTGACCACCCATTGCTGATATATAATCGAGGCCTTGCAACGACGTACGTGCGGAAGCAGAACAGACTTTAAGAACCCTGCGCAATGTACTGCGGCTCATCGGTTGGAAGCTCACCTCTTTGCAATATCCTTCGTACTGTTGGATACATTGTTCTGGCATAACATTGCGCACAACGTTGGGAATCTTTATTTCTCTGTGAGTGGACAGTTTTAGTGTTTTTTCTCCAAATGGTAAGTCTTGTATGATATGCGAGCTTTTAACAAAAGTAACAAAATGGTCGATTTTTTCCGGCTGAATGTAAACTCTCGTATTCTTTAAATGGGGGAGTTCCGCGCCCCTACCGTGAAGCAACAGATGATGTTTTGCAATATTGAAACGATATCTGGTCAAGGTTGGTATCCATTTTTGCAGTTCTTCGAAGGTGACCTTATCAACCATTATAGACAATATCTGTCTACGCGTGCTCCAATGGCTCGTGTTATTATAAAACTCCGTGAAAGCATCCAATAAGAAAGTATCAATATTTTTATCACTGCCCAACTTGTCGCATGCTAATTCTTTAAGTAGCGTGGATGATTGTCCAGGAACGATTTCCTCTAGGCATGCAGTAACAACTTGTTTTCGAATGGTGCTGATAAAGTATACCTTATGGGGCTAACATCTCTTGAGGTTAGAAACGCATTGAGATTCTCTCTTGGTGTAGACAGTGTAGTTGATATATCTTCTGAAATAGTCGAAGTAAAAGACGTCTCGCCAGGTTTGTACAGGCTCATGCCAGTACTTCCAACGTCAAACGTTGTTCGTTCACAAACAGGTGTGGCCATATCTGGAGAGAACGTTATTTCCAACTCGTCGTCTATATTCTTATTCTGTTAAAAAATAGGCATGGAAGCGATCATAATCATATGAGCAAATTAGAAGATAAGAATTTGTGATATCTATGGTACAGTGTTGGTGCAAGAAATCCCGTTGAGTCCCCAACCTCCCATGCACCATCCAAATTCCAGCATGCGTCTGGCGTCTTCAGTGCTCTTCCAGCACACATATTAGGGACCGATCATTAATTACAGGAGAGGGGCTGATGGAAATGAAAACTTAGATGTTAAAATTATGCCCCCCCCCCCCCCACTTGAGGATGCAATAACAAAAGAGACATACGTAATTTAAAGTTCTTATACAATGTGAAGCCACTTTAATCATATTATCCTATATATCTTTATATATTATCTACCATTAATCGAGTCAACGGCCATTCCGATGCAATGTACATGCAATGAACCATCTCAATGAGTAAAAAATAAGTACACTTACTACTTTATGTTCAGTTTAATAAATTTTAATAAATGTTGTTATGACCTTGGATTTCAATATTTGGCATTGTGCTTACCACAGGTGTACTGCTCTCTATTTTTCACCTGTACATTATATGATATGATGGGGTCACGGGGCAGGTATTCATATTGAACAAAAATGTCCCCCCCCCTCCTTTCATGCAGAAAAATATCTGACCTCCCCTCTTTTTCACCAGCTCCCCCCCGTCCCTTGTAATTTTAATGACCGGTCCCTTAGAAGGCTGACGCTTAATTGAAAGATTTGAAAACCATTGCAATCACTAGCAGTGGCTGGGACGCTTTTAAGAGCGGTTGTCTGTAATAGTCAGGTAAGACGTGTAAAATGAGAAAATTCAAAATCCTTCAAACTTTGTCAGAATGTAGGCCTATATGAAGTATTAATGTTGTGAAAGTTTTATTTCGATTGGATAAATATTTAAGGAGAAAGACGTCGAAATTGGTTTTCCCAGGCCACTTTCGGTTTTCGGAGGTCATTCTACGGCACTACCAAAATCGCTCTATTTTGCACAATAATGGGAATATTTCACAAAATATGATTTCGTTTTTATAAATTAGAGATATTTATTGATTAGCAGACGAAATTTAAAGACATTCCTGTGAAAAGTAAATATTTTACAGATTTTCTTAATATTTTTCTATTTTCGAACCTCTTTATTATAGACCATATTGGACAGCGAATATCTCCATTGTTACATCGATTCAGACAAAAAGTTTATAACCAGGTCAAAGAAATATGTTTTCGCTTGATATTGATCAAATAAAATTTTTGGGCAACTCAGAATTGAATTTTTGACGAATTTTTTCGTTACCCCTATTTTGACCTGAATAGCCGTATGTTTACATAATCAACATGACAACGTCGAGCCATGTCGTTCAATACTAATAACCAAAGAGCTCGTCAAAAACGTTTATTTCGTTAAAATATTACTTTAGCTAATGCTGTATGACTGTCTAAAAGCATTTAAGTCGAAATCACACTTTTCACAATCACTAGTTGTTCAGGTTTGAAGGTCGAACAGGGGCATACTGAAACGCTTTTATAGTCAACACTCCGCATCAAACTCCGGAAATTGTACAGAACACTCCTTTCAGGTGATAATTTGGGCGTTCTGAGCTCAACGTGCTTGTTCTCAGATATAAACGGGGAAATTGAATCGTTTATAGTTCTTAATAGATTCTTATTCGATCTAAATTAAACAAATATAACAAATACATATTACAATACTATCGCTAAATGACATCAATAAGATAAACTTACACAGGTGTTCTGTGAGGCTTCCCACGTTTACATCTGGTGTCTGATACTTATTTTATCTGGTTAGCAATACTGGTTAGCTTGTTTCAACTTATAAACAGTGTCTGGTTAGCGCGAAACCTTTGTTCAGTTCTGCACTGTTCTGTTCGGAATACTAATGTAGACAAATGTCGATCAAAACTATATTGTTTACTTTAAGCAGTTAATATTAACTAATTACATCAAGTCTGTCCCGTCAGCGGAGCAATAATAATGACTAAAGAAAGCTTTAAACATCTTACCATGATACTGCTGTTATCAAGAAATATCTAATTTATATATTTAGTTTAAGGCGAAATGGCAAAATGCTGATTTCGAGTTGAAACAGTGCTTGTGCGTTTATAGTTCTGATTGCCTCTGGAAGATTGCGTGACACAACTACCGAAATAAATCGGACAGTGCTGTCAGAAACCATTCGTTGACTTTTTACAGTTTCAATATTAGTTTGTAAATCTCTGAATGGTAAAACTTGCCAATACTCCAATAATACGTTTCAAAAAAAGACAGAAAAGCTTTAGTTTTGCAGAGTTAAATTCTCAAACGTGTAAGGCATTAATAAGATGAAAGTATCACGAAATTATTTGAATAAACCACATCGCATATATGGGGGGCGAATGTCCTAAAGAGGGGCGATATTCCTAGGGTATTCGCCCCACCCCCCTGGGAGGCGATATTCCACGTTTTGAGGGAGGGGGGGCGAATCTCCTGGGGGGGCGACCTTTTTAAAAATTCTATCTTGCCCCCCCAAATTTGAGTTTGCCCCTCAAATGCCCCCCAAATTTGGAGGCCTGGCGCCGCCACTGAAAGATTTGCATTTTATTTTCGTGGTTTGTTTTTTATTTGGCCTATCAAGTGCAGAATGTAAAAATGTGTATAAGTATTATACTGTTATGTAAATATAAATGTATAAATATAATTAGATCGCATGGAATAATAATGATGAATATTCGCAGTCTAAATATTCTAGAAGTGCATGGGCGATAGAATTGTGCACAACTGAGGTCAGTTGAGGAACGACGCCTGTTTCAGTCAATAGAAAAAAAAAAAAATCGCCCACTTTGAAAGTGCTAAAAACTTGATGTATAAAAGTTGTCTACACAATATACCTCGTTACTACTCATTCTGGCAAAAATTCAAGTTTGAATAAAAGCATGAGTATGGACTTCAGCACCGAAAAGCACTCTTGTTATTGAATATTGTAGCACATAAAGTCGCATGGTTGAAACCCAACATGTGTTGATTTCGCCTTTCCTAACTAAGTGTACAAGGTCAAGGAATTTCCAGAAATTCGTCGTTTTTTGCGAATTTATGTGATTGCCAACAATAGTAGTAAAAGGCAATTATGTGCATGACAGCATTTACACAAATACTTCTTTTGCACAGCTGCATGATTTTAAAACTGTGCAAATCAACTTGATATATGGATCCTTCCGTCCAGGTTTTAGAGTTGAAGCATCAAGATCCAGTTCCTCGCAAATTGATTTGAGAACGGGGAGTGCCAGCTTTTTCATTTTCTGGTTTACGTACAGGTCGCATAGATTAATAGACCTGTACGAAATAGGATGGGTCAGCTGGCATTTATCGATTATGTCGTTCCTTAAAAGCTGGTAAGCTGTTTCCTCTTCAGCTGCATCGGCGTCTTTTTCATCGTCGTGGCCTGATGGTTGCTTACTCGGTTTGCCCTTCTTCAGTTTGGCTGCCTTTCTTGAAAAATATGATTGGATCTGTTTAGGCGTCAAAAATTCTTGCAACTGAAACCTGCGGCTGCCTTCCATATTCCTTGCGTGGCGCATATCTTGTGCAACCTTGTTTGGATCTTGCTTATTGCCTGCAGTTTCCTGTCCAACTGAAAACATTTCGTCTAAAAATGCCTTCTGATTTTCTGAAAATCGTGCGGCTTTCTTTGTGGTCTTCAAGGCCCATCCACGGTCTAGGGACGTATGACTGTCTTCTGTTCTCGCTGCTTGCGAGGACTCAAGAGATGGAGGAGGGGCTTGACTTTGAAGCTTTTCCTGATACAGTGCAATGGCTTTGTCGAAAAGACTTTCCTTTTCTTGCTCCAGTTTGCACTTGCCATACTGCAGGTGGTTGTCAAGCGATGTAAAGCGCTGATACATTTTCACACATCCTTCAACAGGGCAGGAGAACAGTTTGGAAGTATCATCTTCATCACTCTCACCATCACTTTCATCATCACTCGTAACTTGTTTAGAATTTTTCGAAGCTTTAACAACAGCTTTAGGCTTTGAGACGATTGCAATGAACGAACCTTCACTAACTGAGGAATTGATGACAGGAATACCCAAGGTCTGCGAAGCTACGGATGAGATGATGTTGAAAGATAAATATACTCGCAATAATGTTTTTGTAGTGAGACATGAGTACATGTCATCTACACCTTAGAGCCAAAGAAAAAGCCCCGAAGACTTAATTAGTTGATCATGCGTAAGTAAAGCAGCGTAATAGTTGTATACTTACCTTTAAACGCAGACCAGCTCACGAATTTCCCTTCGCCAATATTGTACGCCTTCCAGCATGTAAGACCATCTTTGGCAAGCTCAAAGTTATGGAGAGTACTAATTCCATCCAGTTTAGCTACCTCGGTCAGTGCGTTTAAACTTCCTTCGACAAGAGCAACACGCACACCACGAACCCCTCCACTTGATAAAATAGCATCACGGAGATCACTTGCCGTCAGAACATCATGTCCTTCATTGATGTAACGGCGGATGTGTGCCTTGATTGTTGCCGCCTTTCGATCACAGGGGCCTTTACCACCCTGAGGGTCGCTGAAGTCTATACGTCCAACCTTTTGATTCAAGAAATTGAAAATATATGAGTAAAGGAAATAAAAAACGTATCACTGACAACCGCTGCGACAAAATAAATACATCCAGCTTTTATCATTGGCATAATTATTATTAGTTTTAATTGTTTTAATAGTATTCATATGATAACTATTATTATCATCACAATCATCATTACTATTAATTGTAGTAGTGACAGTGAAGTGGTTGTAGTACGTATCAGTAATATTTACCTTAATCCCAGTTATACTCTCCATTAGATGACAAGCAGTCAAAGTCTCGGCGCTGTGGTAACAACCAGCGTTGTCCTGCCGATAGTAAGCCTTCGTTATTTCAGGATTCTCGTCCTTCATTGATCGTAAGGTATGCTCCATGATGGCCATGACAGCATTGCTTTCTTGTGAACAGTTAGCTACAATATGAACATATACTTGATGAAGTAACTGGCCGCTCGTCGTTTTACGGACTACTACAGAAATATGCCATGAAATTCCCCTTTTCCCAAACCAGTCAGATTGAGTTTCCCTGTATTTCTGTGGCAGAAATTTCATGGCCCAATCTTGTGTAATCATGACTTCATTTGAGCCCAGTTCACGAAGAATATCTGTTCGCGCTTTATCCTGTTGTATGGAACGAAGCTGGTGAGCTTTCCAGGCATTAATTGCTGAAATGGCTTCTTGGAATGTAAATCTAATATCATCATGCTGGACAGATGTTAGGTGGTCCTCGGCATCAGCTATTGCATCTTTGATGTCGCCCAAAACTGTTTTGAGCTCTTCACAGGATAGGCAAACGTAGTCATGCTTATGATCACATTCAATACCGGTGCCAAATTTAGTTGGCTCCTTATCGTCGCTTAACGCATGGCAAATGCAGTGGTCTGGAATGTTGCTTGACTCCATAACATGAACCTGAAAAGATGAAAAGAAAGAAACGCATATTTCATTCTGCAGGCAGGTAATCATTTTCGAAACAGCACTCCTAATAATATGCAAATAGCACGCTTGGAAGGCATTTAAATGCAGTATGAAATCGTAGTGCGTAATGATTTTTATAGCAATTGTGTCATGTTCATTATCACTGTAATGAATCAAGTAAACATGGGCAAATCTCCACCATTATTTTGTTCCCGTAATTTATCATTGCGAACATTAGAATCTAGAGAACAAAGATTTTTTCTATACCTTGTAATCGGCTTTTATATATTGCTTTGCATCCTTTAATGACTTCTCGCATTGATCAATCCATTTCTTGTCGCGTCCAAAATTTTCGAGGTTTGAGACAACATTTATTAGATCATCAAATGCTTTCGCGCCGTCTGCGGAAAAATAGTCAAGTCCCTGTAAGGATTTGCGCACGGTGGCGGGGCAAACAGTTAAGATTCGTCTCATTGTTGAGGTACTGAAGGATTTCAGTCCAGTTTCGTTGCAGTACTGGCGATATTGGTCGCAAATTCTCGAAGGAATCATCGATCGAATCGCGTTTGGCGTTTCTAGTATGCGGCCATCCGAAAGCTTTACAAATCGTTGTCCGAACGGCAGGTCTTGGACTACATGAGGGCTGGTTATGAAAGACAGAAAGTGGTCTAAATGCGTGTCGTCTATTCTAACTCTAACTTCAGTGCTTAACGGTACTGGAGCACCGCGGCCGTGCTGCAGAATGTGCCTTCTGGCCGCTTCAAAGCGATGTGATGTTAGTCCTGGAATGTATTTTTGGATCTTTTTCAGTGAGACTAAATCGGCCATGATTGCAAGTACTTGTTTTCTGGTGTTACATCCTGTGGCATTTTGGTACGTTTCTGCCAACGCTTCAAGGTATTTATGGTCAAATGGGGATTGTACTCCAAGAGCTTTGTCAACAACGTGGGAATCCTGGACATCCTGCCAAAGATTGCCAGCGTCATCAGGTGTAATTACTTCAAGAGCTGACGTAATTGCAATTCCAGCTTTCGAGACATGGATTTTTTTCGCTCGCACGCTCATATTTTGCCATTGTTTCTTTGGCTTTCCAATCGACTGCGATTTTCCACAAGCACTGAGGAACTCATTCAATTTTCTCCTGCGATTAGCTTCGCTGTGTTGCTCGGTATCATTTGACCCGGTACTTGAGCTGCCATTTTCAGACATGATGATAGTTGGATCGTCCATCACCGTCAGTTTCTCGATAGCGTCTACCAAAGAGTCATCACTCTCGTTGGTTTTCGCAACTTGGTCCTTCAATAATAAAAAATAAATCATATTTGATACATTTAATTTGTTTACTTATGCATTATTAAGTCCCTGAATAAAAAACCCTGGGAACAGGAGGGGGGTTAACGCAGTGGAACTTAACGGAGCCCCTTCCCAGCCCGCCACCCTTCTCTTTCCCCTCACTTAATTTAAAAAATAAGTCAATTTCTGTACATGTATAACCTTGTCGTAATGCACAGTCTCAATGACGCTGTGGATCTCTAAAGCTTGGGCCAATGAAGGCGTTGAAGATTCCTCTTTTTGTTCTGGAGTTATCGCATAAGAGGTTTGTTCTTCCACTTCTTGTTTTAGTTGTTCACGACATCTCCTACAAATTGCTTTAAAAAAGAAAAAAAAACTAATATTATTCCCCATTATTTTCCTTTATTTTTCATCTAAGGGCCTGTTTATATGGAAGCCGGGCTGGCCCGCTTCGCGAGACAGCCCGGTAAGCGAGATCTCGCTGTGTAGTTATTTTTATAGTAAACATTATCGTGCGTTTATATGGACAAGCGGGCTGGCCCGGTTGCCGAGATCTCGCTTGAAAGAGGCGAGATCTCGCTTACCGGGATGGAAATTTCTCCATATAAACACTCACAAGCGGGCTAGCCGAGTTGCCGGGATGAAAGTTCAAAGGTACCGCCGCAAGCTATTTTTAACAACTTTCAAAACAATATCAATGTAACAAAATTGTTCCGGCAAGCGGGATGAAATTTTCTCATATAAACGCAAGAGAAATTCATCCCGCTTACCGGGCTGTCTCGCTAAGCGGGCCAGGCCAGCTTCCATATAAACAGGCCCTAAGCTGGGCTAAAATACGTTATTTTTTAACTCAAAACCGTCAACCATGAAAATATACATCGAGGTAAAATGCGTGAATGTGGAATGAAAGTAGTATAGAATTTGCAATACTCACGCGACCCAACGGGCACAAGAAACTTTGTAAGATTGTACAGATGTTTGGACTGTGCAAAGGTGATGCCCCTGTCTCCTTTGGGTTTGGTCTTTTTGTGAGACGACCACTCCAATGGAACTGAACACGTTTTCTTGTTACAGAGCCATCTAGTTCCGTACATTTCACGATGACGAGGACATATAGTTAGACTGAATTCCTTATCAGCATTTTCAAATATCCCTGTTACAAATAGTGTATTACTGACCTCAAAATATTTTCCGGTAAGCATATATATTTCAGTAAAACGGTATTGGGGGGGGGACGTTTTTTGGGAATAAAACGTTCCAAGAATTATTTTTGCGATAATGGGGGTTGAAAATATTTTTCAGGCCTTTTTCGACCTCAATTTTTACAATATTCCTTAATATTTAACACGTTTCGCAATTCCAGCATTCCGGGGCCCCTCTGGGGAAGTTCGGCCCCCCTTTCTTGACTTTTCTTTGGCCTGATTATACTGCCTGTGTTGTAGGTGTATCATCCAGAAATGGTTGGATAAATGTAATTGAAATTGGATCAAATGTCAAAAAGAAAATAATGAACTAACCGGCTCGTGCAAGTAGAAGACGAGACTCTGTTCTCAAACTGGAATCCCAAACGTCGTGCGACCTCAAGTGTCCCTTGATTTCTTTATCACAATCATTAAGAAGAACGCATTCTGAATCGACTGGATTAGAATTGCTTGCACCACATGACCCAGTGACAAGAGACGCGTAACCACAAACAGCCATACAAAAGAAGGAATATACCGCCGCGGGGGAAATCCCTACATGTAGCATTTAACATATACAGGAGAGATTATTTATAATTCATTTTTATCCACAAAGACGGAATTTATTTTGTAAACCAACTATTTATTCCATGGATAACTCACCCGTACACGTTGTCTTTATCTAATTCTTGCTGTTTTAAAAGTGCTGGCCAGTTATATAAAACTACTAAATAAGTATAATTGCGTAGACGTTTGGTCTGAAGTTTGACTGTTTTCTCAGAACAAATTCAAAGTTATTGAGCAATAACAAAATATAAATCAAATATACAACTGTAATAAATATTACCAAATCAGCAGAGGGTTCTTTCTAAAAATAGAAAAGACATCTTTTGGCATGACATCACGGTGAAAGAATCCAGCTTTAATATTAATTAAATTAAGTAACGAATTACAATTTCAACGCGTAAACAGACCAATGTTTTCTGACAAAAAGCGCGTGCACTACTTATGTACGAAAAGTTGTAAGCAGGACGAGCTCGAGTCGTGAAGAACACAAAATAAACTTGCTACATATCGAGCCATATAGCAGGTAAAATACAATTGAAACACAAATCTGCCAAATCAGCGGCGCCGGCTATATTATATATAGGCATTTAATACCTGAACAATAAGCGACAGTTAACCGGCAGTGTGATTTATAGACCTAAATGCTTTTAAACAATCGTACAGCTTTAGCTAAGGTAGTTTTATAGGCCTAGGCTTGTTTACTTGAAAAAATAAACGCTTTTCACAATCTCTTTGGTTATTTATTGAACTACATGACTTGACGTTGATTATACGAACATACGGTTATTCGGGTCAAATAGGGGTAACGAAAAAATTCGTCAAAAATTCAATTCAGAGTTGCCCAAAAATTTTATTTGATCAATATCAAGCGAAAACATATTTCTTTGACCTGGTTATAATTTTTTTGTCTGAATCGATGTAACAATGGAGATATTCGCTGTCTAATATGGTCTATAATAAAGAGGTTCGAAAATAAAAAAACATTAAGAAATCTGTAAAATATTCACTTTTCACAGAAATGTCTTTAAATTTCGTCTGCTAATCAATAAATATCTCTAATTTATAAAAACAAAATATATTTTGTGAAATATTCCCATTATCGTGCAAAATAGAGCGATTTTGGTAGTGCCGTAAAATGACCTCTGAAAACCGAAAGTGGCCTGGGAAAACCAATTTCGACGTCTCTCTCCTTAAATATTTATCCAATCGAAATAAAACTTTCACAACATCAATACTTTATATAGGCCTACATTCTGACAAAGTTTGAAGGATTTTGAATTTTCTCATTTTACACGTCTTACCTGACTATTACAGACAACCGCTCTTAAGACTCGCAGCCAATCATCAATTCCCGTCCACTGGTGGACGGGGAATTCGATTACACTGCCAAACACAGCAGGCGGTATTTCCCAGGCTTGCCCGATTTGTAAGATTCTTACTTACTTACTTACTTACTTAAAAAATTATTTAATCACGCTGGCCATTTTGAAATTTGTAAATGTCTCAGAGTTAGCAGAACGTTATTAACAAGACGTTCTCAAAACTGAAAAACGCGAAAAACGGGTAATTTAATTTATTATTTATGTACATCGTTACTCGAATTTGAGGTTGACTCAGAAGCCAATTTTGGCCCAATAGTTATAAAATAATCATTGAACGCTTCACTATCTCACTGCCATCAACAGTATTTTCGCCCTCGAGTTCAATCTCGGTCACATGATTAGATTTGTGAGATTTACCAACGACAGATCAGTGTTGATAATAAAAATAATAATAAACACTTTACTCGGGGTTGTTAACAAATTACTGGTTTCCCAGTAGTTTACATTGCGCCCGTTTTTATGGTATAAGAATTGTGGATGGTTGAAAATTACCATGCATGGAATTAGTGTTATGGCAGTGATTATAGTGGTGGGGATTGATGAGAATTATTGCGACTTTGGAACAATTCTATAAGAAAGAATATTTGGAAGAATATTATATTGAAATCGCTACATTCAAGTGTTATTATAATAATTGTCAAACTAAACATTGTTATGGGTATAAATGTAATAGGGATTCAGTTATGATAGTGATAATATTGCAGATGGTGAACTGTTATTTGTAGTTGGTGACGACAAAACGATCGAGTTTCGTGGGATTAAATAGAATAAAAGATGATGGTGATGCCATAGTAATGGTTGTGAGGGATACACCGAGGAACATGTTTATAAGGGGACGGGGGGACAGGATAGCACGCGAGTTTTGCTACGCAGGCAGGCTGGATTTTACCCGGTAATCTTTTTACAGAAAATATCTTAAATATCGTCGGAGAATTTTATATTTATGGCAAGCAAAAGAAACGATTACGACAGTGGTAAAACCTCGACCGATCAATATAAGCCGAATTGTGTTGGTGTAGTAGGTGTAGTAGTCCTGTTAAACCCGTTGGCGTTGCAATAACGGCCAAAACATTCTTTTGAAGGAGTAAATCTTTAACTGGTATCTCTTGCTCGCGTTTGAGATTTCACAATCAGTTCGCGTTTCGACTTTCGAGAAGCGTTCCGAATTAATACAACAGCTAAGCGAATTAATGCTATGCCGTGACATATTAAAAGCGTATTCACTTTATTCACACGCGTATAGACAGCGGCTCAGACTCGCAGCCAATCATCAATTCCCGTCCACTGGTGGACGGGGAATTCGATTACACTGCCAAACACAGCAGGCGGTTTTTTTCCCAGGCTTGCCCGATTTGAGGAACCGTCTGCCGTGCAGGCTACTAGTGATATTGGCATATGGCGAACGCGAATTTGGGATTTTAAATCATTGCGAATTGGTAGAAATTGCGATTATTCACAAGCTTCTACGTTCGGCTTATAGTAATCTTATTTTTTTTATTAGGGCCTGGTATACATGATTACAACAGCCCTAAAAATTCGTTCATGAAAGACTATCTTTATCTGAGCACATCAATTCACATTAACGGATTCCTGTCCAACAATAGGGAAGTGAATTATAGTTATCGCTCTTTTCCAATCAGAAGTTACTTTGCATTCTTTCCCAACCATCGCGAAGAGAATTCGAGTACGTATCACCCTAACCTAGTGTACGAAACACAAGGGGTCGCAGTAGATTGGAGGAAAACTGGAATGGCTTTAACAGAAAAAATACCTAGTAATTTCTTCTACCTAACTGAGGTGCATTATGGAGGAGGTGGTTGTTATACATCCAGTGATCGTTGGGTTGAGGCAAATGGAACAGCAATTGGACTGCGATAAAATGAACTCCCCTTTGAAGCTGGATTTTAATATAACATTAACAGCACGTGAGAGTTGATTGGTCGAAAAACGTGTTTCTATTACGGTTTGAAACCACGGGAAATTTCCCCTCTCGCAGCTCATTTTAAAACGTAATCAAAACAATTTTATACTTGACACATGCAGTCTTTCAAAAACGAAAAATTTACGATTTAGATCCGTATCTTGGACAATTATTACTTGTTGAGTTACCCTCAAGAGTTTGAATTTTTGCACAATAGTTACAATTACCGTTGCTATGGCAACAATGAGGTCTCAAAATGGCGGATATTTTGACTTCAGAGTAATTTAACTCGAAAAAGATATATATATCGGTAACCCGCAAATTTTATTTAAAAAAAATGGTTTGTTTGGTAAATACAATTATGCTTGTGTGATGCTACTCTGAGTGTATATCCACACCGGGCAAGCTTGAAAAATATGCCTGGCCACGGTGGATCTCACCTGAGTACATTACACCAACACAGAAAATATCAAAATACAATTATCTTCATAATTCAAAAAAATTAATGTAATTTGAAACATTTTCGACAGGACAGAATTTTTAATAATTGTCAAAATAGTTGAGTAACAAAGAGAAATCATTTTATGAAATAAAATTTGGTGGTCATCAATGTCCCTTATTGAAACGTCATTGTTGTCCTAGCAACGGCAGTTGTGTAACCTTTGTAAAAAAATGTTGTTTTACGTAAGCAAAATGCTTTTTGTTTTTCAACAAATAATATTTGTACAAAAATACGGATCTAAATCCTTCAAATTATTCATTTAAAAAAAAATGTACACTGTTTGTTTTCTGTTCTCCCAAACTCCCACGCGTGTTCTTATAACTGGTATAGAAACACGGAAAATGTTCTCAATTTTGCAAAATAGAAAAAATATTCGCCAGTCACCAACCCACAGAAAGCCCAGGCTCTGCTTGTATAGCCGCACCATTACCAAGTTAACTCTATATATATCTGGAGCTAGAATTTCAGTCATTCGGCCTATGAGAACCTTGTAGCCAAGATGGCAGAAATTGACGTTCAAAAGCTATGACGGTCGTAAACAGTTTTTATACCATTTCCCCCCAGCTAATTTCAATTTCGTCAAACGCACTGCAACGCTAATAAAGTTTTCAGTTCATAAAATTATAATTCGGCACACTCCTTACTTGAAGGAGGGTTAGGCCTGGCGCGGGCAAAGGCTAGATGCGGGCTACAATGAGAGCCTGGGCTAATTCCTGTGATCAACGTGGATAATGTGGAAATTGCGTAAGGAAAGTTTACAGGGTTGGTTACAAATAAACATGGTTAGGAAAGTAATATCACAATTGTTGTACAGATAAATAGTCTAAGCTATATAAGTATAGGTAATATTTATATATAGGTAAGTGTATGTAACTCAATGTAATCAGTCACTGAAAGTGAACTGCAGCATAATGTATGTATGTATGTATGTATGTATGTATGTATGTATGTATGTATGTATGTATGTATGTATGTATGTATGTATGTATGTATGTATGTATGTATGTATGTATGTATGTATGTATGTATGTATGTGTATGTATGTATGTGTATGTATGTATGTGTATGTATGTATGTATGTATGTATGTGTATGTATGTATGTGTATGTATGTATGTATGTATGTATGTATGTATGTGTGTATATGTATATATATATGTATATATGTGTATATGTGTATATATATGTATGTATGTATGTATGTATATATATATATGTATGTATGTATGTATGTATGTATATGTATATATATATGTATATATATATATATATATATATATATATATATATATATATATATATATATATATATATATATATATAAATATAATAATGTATGTACTGTATGTATTGTCAGCATCCAAACAGACCATGAGGACAGACTATGACTAGAGTTAAAAACCGGTGTCATTGCGTGGCGAGGAATATTACTTTCAAATACATTACTACACAAATGTTGCCTAAAACTGTCGCATGCGACCTGCTTACAACTTGAGTTATAATCTGTCCAGCCAACGACTCACCTACGACAACGTATGTGAGTTGTGTGCTTGATTTAAACAGTAGAACTCAAGTTGAAAGCAGGTTGCATGCGATAGTATTAAAGGTAAAGGTTGTGAAGTGTAAATGTGGAATATTTAATCTCCCTCAAAAATCTTTGGAAGTACAGTCGACTTGTATCAAGTGGTACCGAATTAAGCGGTCACCCTTTGTTAAGTGGTCATGTGGCAAAGTCCCGAAAATTTCATAATATAAATACTACTTAAGTGACCTTTATTGAACGGTCACCTGTATTAAGCGGACGTTGTCACCTTTTCCACGGTTCCAAACTTATTTTTTCACTGTTTTTAAAGTTTATTAAGGTGGCTCGATACAGTTGTCAAATATTCAGGTGTTCAACACTTTGACATGTTCAAACTACGCATTTTTAGGATTTATTCAGCAGATATTGGGGTTTTTATATATTTTGATAACTCTACTTTCAAATTATATTAGTTTTAGTAACAGATAGTTCGTTGCTATGACGACATACGTGCACGAAATTCACTCCAAAATGGTCTATCGTCTCATATAGTTGGAAAAGAAGCATGGTGACCCCCAATTTTTTCCTGCATTATTTTACTTGGACAAAAAGCTAACAATTAACAAAATATAAAAAAATTCTGTAATGCCATTTTTTTGGAAAGTGCGTAAATGTCATATTCTTCGGTAAAATTTGTTTGACATTACAGAATTTTTTAATTTTTTGTATCATGAAAGTTTTTAGCGGTGCAATACAGCATGCAAAATTTTAACATAGGTCACCAGACAAAATAAAGAGATATACATGTAGCGCATTGTTTTTCTAAAATGGAAAATTCTAATGACGTCAGCAATTGACATAAAACGCTATAGAACATGCGCAATGACGTGAGATGGCGCGAACAACTGCTCACGTCAGGTCATTTTGGAAATTCTTTCATTTTGTTAAATTAATCAGTTTTCGCGACTTGCGCGTAAAAATGGTCACCCGGTTTTGAGTTCGCGATTCTTGAGCACGGTTTTTGCGATAACTTTATCGAGCCACCTTAAACGGTCAGTGGAAAGTAACTAGATCAAACATTATATAATTAAATCTTACGGTGGCCCAGAAGTGCAACACCGAATATTAATGAAACATCAAATTCAAATTCGTCACATCAAATTCAAATTCGTCACATCAAATTCAAATACATCACATCAAATTCAAATTCGTCACATCAAATGCATGGTCAGCGGTATTTCATAGAACTACTTTGCTACTTCATATAATAACCAATTTGCGGTAATAACTGTTAAAACATGGCGAATTGTGATACTTGCGAACGAGAAGTTGCACTCGATGATAACTTTTGTTGCTCATGTGGCACCGAACTCATTTCCAGATCATTTCCTGTGGTAAAAACTTCTCGTTCCATCAAGTCTTTAAAAAAATTTATCCACCAATTGGCTCTGCTCCTCCTGAAATACGACCACCACCCTTCAATTCTCTGATTATGCGGAGATGTACCATATATATGGGCTTGTTCATTATTTGTAAAATAGCACTGTGTAGCTGCAGCCAGTCCATTTTCTGTTCCACAATCAGATCTCAATTTTCTGGGGCATCCACCACATGCATCCACAGCATTCAGAAGTAATCTTAATATAACTTGCGGGTTGTTGTTGGATCTTGATAACTGCAACCATAGGATCTTGCGGCTAAAACCATCAATACACCCATGAATGGGAAACCCATATGGTTTAAGTTTGTCATAGCCGTCCAAATGCCAACAATAATTTGGCCCTGGGTTTACATAAACCCTTCTTCTCAGCCGTTTGGTCCATCTTATTTTGCAACCTTACGGATCTAATTCCTTCAATAAATCTTCAAGCGTTTGTCTAGGTACCATATATCCTTCCCGTTGAAGAGTATGCAACATGGAGCGATAACCAGACATACTACCTGGGCCGTCTATTTCTCGCATTATTCTCTCCCGTACTTCTTGTTCATTGAAATCCATCGATTTTCTACCGAGACCAAGCATTTTTAACCGGTTCTTTAGTGTCCTTACACACATGGAAATACCATGAAATTTGCACAAAAATTCTACGATTGTGTTATATTCGTAACCTTGTTTAAAATAATATTTTATAGCAATCGTCTCATGACAAAGTTCGGTGCCACATGAGCAACAAAAGTTATCATCGAGTGCAACTTCTCGTTCGCAAGTATCACAATTCGCCATGTGTTATTACCGCAAATTGGTTATTATATGAAGTAGCAAAGTAGTTCTATGAAATACCGCTGACCATGCATTTGATGTGACGAATTTGAATTTGATGTGATGAATTTGAATTTGATGTGATGAATTTGAATTTGATGAATTTGAATTTGATGTGATGAATTTGAATTTGATGTGATGAATATAAATTTGATGTGACGAATTTGAATTTGATGTGATGAATTTAAATTTGATGTGACGAATTTGAATTTGATGTTTGTAATTTGAATTTGATGTTTCATTAATATTCGGTGTTGCACTTCTGGGCCACCGTAAAATCTTTATTCGGCAACATGTCAAAGTCTTTAAGTTCTGTTTAAGTTCTGTTTATGTATTATTCAAGCAATTTAAGCGGTGAGGTTATTTTCTACATAACCTGTGAAAAGTGGTCAACCTGTATTAAACGGTCACTTGCGAAATCCCCGAGGGTGACCGCTTAATACAGGTTCGACTGTATTGAATAATTAAAAGAATTGTATATTATCGATCTACAGTATGAGTATATTGTATGTGGAAACGACGGCGTGCAGGTTTCGTATTTATTCGCGGATAAATTTTGTTAAATTTATATATTGTTACCAGGACTTTGGAGTGGCAGCTTTTGCTTGTGTTAAAGCTTTAAACAATACAGTACGTTAGGTCTTCCGTTTCATGTTCACTTGACATTTGTGTGCTAACAGGTCACTTAACTACACATTATCCATTATGGTCAACATGTTGTAGCCCGTAGTCTTTGTGCTTTTGTAAAAGGAGTTATCTATAAATTTAAGATGCGAGGTGATTTTTGTAGCATCTGTATAAATCATAGAATAATTAATTTAAAAGAAGTTCCTCAGGTTGTAAAACAGTTGGTTATAGACCTGTTTTGTAAATGGTTGCCGCGGCCAGCATCATGATGTAAGGCTGTAACTAAGCCAAACCTGAAATAATTTTTGCATCAAGGTGTAGCAGTTAATGAAACACTTGTGTCTGGATAAAAAAGAAGTGGTGAATTTAAATACAGATGTTTCCTTGCCTGTTGCTATATGAAACAACGTTGTTAGCAATAAGAGTCATTGTGGTCTTTGTGGATCAGTACAAGGCTTATTTGCCAAAAATATACCACGCCGGGTCAGCTGTTCTCACGAATCGTTCATCTAATATAAACTTTTTCAATATATTTCGGATGGACATGAAACTTGCTACATCAATATAACTTTCCATTCCGAACAATCGTATGTTTTTTTATTTTTGAGATTTAACGGTTTTTGGCAGGAAAATGACGTCACGAAACCACCAGTTAAAATTTATTTTCAATATCGTAATAGTTTTTAAGCAGAATGTGGAAGATCATGATGTCATGAAGAGTTCAAAACTGAAAACAGATTTTAAATATCTTAATCTAATCACGAGATACAGGGAGTTTAGAATCGAATTTTCCACCATGTTGTTGCTATTTTTAGATTTTTCACGGTTTTTATGGTGAAATAACTTTGGATTAGGTTTAGATATTTAAAATCCGTTTTCAGTTTTGAACTGTTCATGACATGTTCTTCCAAATTCTGCGACAAAACTATTAAGATATTGAAAGTAAATTTTTAATGGAGGTTTCGTGACGTCATTTTCCCGCGAAAACCCGTTAAATCTCAAAAATAAAAAACATATGATTGTTATCGGAATGGAAAGTTATATTGATGTAGCAAGTTTCATGTCCATCCGAAATATATTGAAAAAGTTTACATTAGATGAACGTTTCGTGAGAACAGCTGACCCGGCGTGTACAAGCATTGAATCCATTTCCAAACTATTATTCTATGTGAATATATTAGCAATTATATATAAAAGGAGATACAGTATAGGATTGAAATAGCTACAGTTTACTTTCAATCAAATAACTACTTTAATTTCTGTATCAAGCCTCCTGGGTGCTATTTTTTCCCAAGCATCATTGAGGAAGGCTTAATGGAGAGGGGGCTTTATAGAGGAGGCGCGTTTTCTAAATATATGCAGTAAGTCTGGTTACCATTAAAAATATCCATATTCAGAGTTACCGTTGTATTATATTTTATTAAAATACTGCAGAAATGCAATATAATTTATGATTTTAAGAATGAATTGAATGGGGGCTGGATGGTTAAAGGGGGGGGAAGCTTATTTATTTTTGTAACCAAAGGGGGGGCATTGGAGAGGGGCTTAAAAGAGAGGGGGGCTAAATATAGAAATTACAGTACCTCCATTCCTTCTTCCCCCTTCCCAAACATGCTGCAGGAGAGGGGGCGAGGTTGATGTATTGCATGTTATGTACCTGGTAAAATGGAGTAATGAGCTAGTAAGTATATCCTTGCCTATAATTAGTTTCTGATAGTTTTTTTTAGTTTCAAAGATACACAGTGTGAAGCATGAAAAACAAATGGGAGATACTCACTGCAACAAACTTTCAGCAAATATGGCCTTGTTCACTTCATTTCTTACCTTCGACACAAGTAATTATAATTACAAACACAATGTACTGTTAAATAAAAACTTTATATGTGTTCCATGTATATTTAACAAATAGATTACATTTAACCGTTATTTGTTCAGTTATATATAGATACACAGTTTGACGTCATATGTGGTACGAACAAAATTTATCTATAACTGAACAGACAACGGGAAAATGTAATCTATATGTTTTATATAATAAAATTGAAAAAATTCCCGAATTAAACAGGTAAACAGTTTATTTTATCCCGCGTTCATAATCTATACAAATAACGAAATGCTATTGGCTCGCTTAAGTCGCGTGCTGAATTCTGATTTGCCAAGCTTAGAATGCGCTAGACGGTGATAAATAAGGAAAAACTAAAAATTTATCAAAACAGTGAAAAAACATCGTTTTAATTAAAGAAATAAAAACGCGTGGTAAAAAGGCAATTGTTTAGTTCTGAGCGACCATGGTGATTGCCCATGTTGCACGAAGTAAAGAAACCAGCTGAAAAAGGTGACATCGACAGGGTCAAATAGTATTTGTTTTCGAAGATCAGATTGAATTTGAAGTCGCAGCTGAATGACTGAATTGAGATTTGCCGAGTTGCTAGCTTTTCGAGTGATTTTTGCACATTTATCGAAGGTATTTATTGATGTTTATAGATTTAATTTCAAATATTTTCGACATTTTAAAAACTAATGACGTAATTCCGTACGTCTGCCCTCTAATAGATCATGGCTCTCGACCAATGAAATCGCATGAATTCTTAATTCGTTTTATATATTCGGTTCATTCACTGCTATGAAGACAAAAATACCACGTTCGATTCAGTGTAACAATATGTCCTCATTCATAGCGATAGTTTTAGTCGATGTCAACATTATTGCGATTTATGAGCTTTGAAAGTTAAGCGAGTTCGTATATTTTTAAATTACGCAATTGTCTGAACAAAAATATAGACTATCCATACCTTTCGCCGAACATAACTTCGGCCCCTTCGGACATAACTTCTTTGTGATAGTTTTGTTCCAATCGCTATCAAAAACAATACTTAGAGCAAAGGCGGCCCAATCTTACCCTGTGTTATTAATTTATTACGTTATATATCTTTATATAAATAGTATATTGAAAATCATTAGAAAATCCTGTGTTATTAATTTATTACGTTATATCTTTATATAATAGTATAATGAAAAGCACTTACATGTGTTTCCTGAAAGATTTTAACGAGAACCGACCAATATTGGCGTTGACAAGACGTTAACGGCCATAGTTGGGGTTGACATGAGGATTAACAGCAGGAAATAATACAAGGCTGGTCACTTTGACCGTTAATTGGACTAATTGGGACAAACGCTGACAGAAATCAATCGAATAACGTGAACTTCGGCTGTCGCATCGTCGCCAAATTACGTTACATCGGAAGAGCGATAATTTTTACACAATATACTTCTCTTTAAGGTGGCTCGATACAGTTTTCGAAAATTCAGGTGTTTAGCACTTTGACATGTTCAAACTACGCATTTTTAGGATTTGTTCAGCAGTTATTGGGTTTTTTTATATATTTTGATAACTCTACTTTCAAATAGTAACAGATAGTTCGTTGCTATGACGACATACGTGTACGAAATTCACTCCAAAATGGCCTATCGCCTCGTATAGTTGGAAAAAAAGCATGCTGACCCCCATTTTTTTTTCGTGCATTATTTTACTTGGACGAAAAGCTAACAATTAGCAAAATATAAAAAATTTTATTTTTTGTACGATGAATTTTTTAGCGTTACAAAACCATACGCAAATTTTCAACATAGGTCACCAGGTGATATAATGAGATACAAAGCTTTTTGTCCGGAAATATTGAAATTATAATGACGTCAGCAAATTACTCGCAAGAAAACACACGCGCGTCAGCGCGTGGCAAGGATTATTCGAAATGTCGAGACCAACAAACAAGACAAATATTTGACAACTTTAATCGTTATTTTTAAAAAATATTCTCGTTTACTTGAGTAATATGATGGAAAATTATAGTAAGATCTACAAATTACACTGAAGAGACAAAATATGAACATATAGCGTTCAAAATTCTTCGATTTTTTGTTACCCGTGGTTTTGAAGTTCGCATGGTCGTAGGTGGCAAGCCAAGGACAGCAATGATGCCTTCACATCCACCTTGTCTGAATAATGCAACCAGATCTGTGAATGTCATGCCACTCTCTGCTATCTTATTGGCCATTGACTTCGAAATAACACTTCTATTTTTGTCGGGATTGTGGAGATTGCCCATAAACCTTTGGAATCGATCGTAAGACAGATCCATATGCTGGACGACAGCCAACGCATTTTCACACGACATGACATTTGATTTTGAAACGATAATTTCACTGGTCAATGTCAAATTGGACTCAAAAAGAATTCTTCGGAGTGCTTTAACGTCTTCGAGGGCATCGTGTGCTGGAAACGACTGGTCAAATAAGGTCGAATGTAGGCATCCCAACGAGGCTTTGGAAAATGTATTATCAGACAACCGAAGCGCAGGACGTTCCCCTTTCAAGATTTGCTTGGCTAAGATTAAACTATCTCCAAAATGAACATTCAAACGTTTCAGTTTTGTCATAAACGGTGGAATTGAAGTACGGAGAAGAATTGGGATATCAAAGGTCATCGCATTGTGTCCTACCAGAACAGGTATGCATTCTTTCATTTCTTTGTCGTTCGTACTGACTTTGTTTATATAATTGATGAACGACACTTGGGCTTCCTTTAAACTGCTACTCTGCACAGGTTGGCCTTGGTGATAGAGTACTCTTTCCCCGTTTACTTTAAAAATTTCTAGTTTATTAATTTCTGTAGCGTGCTTGCTAACATTACTTTCAGGCATAAGGTAACATGAAAATTCATTTTGTCCCACATCATCTATCGCCGACAATTGACAAATTTCTGCTGCTTTTCCCATGGTGGTTGTCTCGGTATCGAACAAAATAAACTTGTATGTTTTTGACTCATCATATTGTATACAATTATTTTGTTTTATTCGGACTTGCGGAACTAGTTTCTCATATCTCTGGTGTTGTTCATTAGTTATAGACTCAAGGGTTTGCAGTGGATCAGAATTAGCCATATTGCTGGGCAACTGTAAGTTTAGTGCAATGTTACTCTCATACGTTTTCCCTTCCTTTATTTCGCTCTTTGCAAGTTTTGCACTTTTCTTATTTTTCAATTCATTTCTTCTACATTTTACTTCTTTCATTGCTTTTCTTGCTTTAGCAGTAGTTGACTTTTTGTCCATTTTGGCAACATAGTCCTCACAAAATTTACCTGGTTCAATGTTTAATCTTTCCAATGTGCTGCTTACATAACTGTAATGTCCTCATTAATATTCCATGTTACCTTATTAATATTCTAATTAGTATCCAATATAGTTGTATAGTGATACCACCAACGCTGAGAAATAAAGCTGTGGATCTAGCACACATTGGGCATCAAGGTGTCGTGAAAACAAAAAGATTGTTAAGGGAGAAAGTCTGGTTTCCTGGCATAGACAAGCTTACAGAAGAGAAGATAAGAAATTGCCATCCTTGCCAAGTTTCAACGCCCGAAAGCTCAAAACGCTCAGAACCTCTGAAGATGACCCCATTGCCCAGTGGTCCTTGGAAAGAAGTGTGCATCGATTTTGCCGGACCTTATCCTTCGGGTGAATATATCATGGTGGTTATCGACGAATAAAGTCGTTTTCCAGAGGTTGAAATCTTGACTTCCACATCAGCTAGAGCAGTGATACCGAAGTTGGACGCAATCTTTTCCAGACAAGGAATTCCTGACGTCTTAAAAAGCGACAATGGTCCTCCGTTTACTAGTCTCGAATTCAAGAAATTCGCAGAGCATCTGGGTCTCCAACATCGTCGGATTACACCATGTTGGCCAAAAGCTAACGGGGAAGCTGAGCGCTTTATGAGAACTCTCGGATGAGTTGCCAAGCCCATAGCAGCACCATGCCCAGTTGAGGAATTGTGACCCTTTCCTCTTTTCTGCCATCCCATATCATATGATGCAGCCATCTCTATACAAAACCATCTGGAGTCACACATGTGCTATTTGTTTTTTCTTCACAGGTTATTTTGCTACAGCTTTCTTGGGCAACAGTCTCAACACAATGACCAACTTCACGTTCACGAGCTTTGTATGCTTTATGGCTTATTGTGGGTATATTCATTGTGGAAAGCAGGTGATTGACATGTGTGTGTCCCATCCCAGTGTGTAAACTTCCCAATACCACTCTGCTGTTTGCATCCATACAAGGTGGTCCACGCTTCCCTGATTTATGTCGAGATGATGTACAAACTTCATTTAGTTGAAAGCAGTTTTGGCAGAATACATAAAAATTAATACACTTCCTAGGCCATACAGTTTTTCTTGCTTGATGTCATCCAAGGATACTGGACCTAGTTTATTATGGAAGGTGTTAATGACAAGACTTTGTAATCAGTAAATGAGCAAGTGCTATGGTTTATTTAGCATCCACTAACATTGTCTCATTACATTATTTGCCCATATATTTAAGACAGTGCCAAAGCATGCTGGATAATTGTGGGGGGGGGGAGCATATTCATATATTCATGTTCACAGACCTTAAAAACAATGAATTTCAAAATAAATTAATAATGCAAAACATGGATATATGAATATGCCCCCCCTCCCCCCATTTATCAGCTTGGCTATGCCACTGCAGGAAGAGACTGATATTGTTGTTGTACATGTAAATCATTAGAGTATCTTTAAGAATTGCACCAAAACTTTGTTATATAAAGGAGTAAATTTAAAATGTAAAAGAATAAAGGAAAGAAGTGTCTTTTTAGTTATTGTATTTTTATTATATAAGATTTATTTATAGCTTGTAAGTTCATACCTTTACCGCAAGCTAAACATTTTGACAGTCCTTTTTTCAATGTGTCGATATCAACTACTCTCGACCCGACAAGTCGGCTAGTTGTCTATAAAGCATAACAATGATAACTTATTTTAGACTGGAAAAATATAACGTGAAAATACAAAAGAAAACTTACTTTGTGAAAAAAATTTACTGTTACCTGTTGTTGCCTTTTCGGCCTCTTTAACGTTGTCTTTGATGTATCGTCGTCGCTTGCCCTCTCGTTTTCGTCGTTGCACACCGCCAATTTCCTTTTTCGCTCGTTTAAAATCTTTCCTTTTTGCATCACTGCAACCTTATCTAAATTTTCTTTGAACTTTCCCGAACTTACAAATCTTCCTTTTGAATTTTTGCCTTCAGAAACTCGCATTTCGCACTTGTTTTTATCGTTTTCACAATTTAACTCCGCCATGTTTACTTTTCTCGGCATTTAAACTGCCCGCGAATATCGCGAGTGTTGTGAAAAGTCCCGCGTGATATTTAAGCGCGTACGCGCGCGCGAAGAACTAGGAAATTTCTGTATCGAGCCACCTTAACAGAATTGAACAATATCTTCCTGCAGAAAATGCCGAATTGAAACTTACAAATGTCTAATCTTCCGAGGTTTATGACCGGTATGAATTAATGGCCTTCAAATTCGAATTACACGCTGCATTGTCATTGGTCGGCTTTCAAAACAACAACAGGACATTTCCTGTAAGAGAGCGAACGTTTGGGGAGTTAGCGAATGGCCTCTGCAAATGTCGTGTTGTTGTTTTGAAAGCCGACCAATGACAATGCAGCGTGTAATTCAAATTTGAAGGCAAATGAATTCAGATCGGTCACGAACCTCGGAAGACATTTGTAAGTTTCAATTGGCATTTTCTGCAGGAAGATTATTGATAAATTCTGTTAAAGAAAAGTATATTATGTAAAAATTATCGCTCTTCCGATGTAATGTAATTTGGCGACGATGCGACAGCCGAAGTTCGCGTTATTCGATTGATTTCTGTCAGCGTTTGTCCCAATTAGTCCAATTAACGGTCAAAGTGACCAGCCTTGTATTATTTCCTGCTGTTAATCCTCATGTCAACCCCAACTATGGCCGTTAACCTCTTGTCAACGCCAATTTTGACCGGTACTCGTTAAAATCTTTCAAGAAACACATGTAAGTGCTTTTCATTATACCATTATATAAAGTTATAACGTAATAAATTAATAACACAGGATTTTCTAATGATTTTCAATATACTATTTATATAAAGATATAACGTAATAAATTAATAACACAGGGTAAGATTGGGCCGCCTGTGCTTAGAGTGTCATTTACGAGCCTGTATCTTCAAATCTGCACTTTTATCACGGTATCACATCTCTATCAAGCAACAAATGTTGGAAAATAACGTTAACCGTTAGTTGTATATATAAATACGGCAACAGTAACTTATAATATTAACACTAATTATTCTAATTCTTTACTGCTGTCAATCAAAAATTCAAAATCAACATTCTGACCAATCAGAATGCTCCGTCACCCAGCTGCCGGACAATTCAGAATGTGTAGTTTTTGGGCAGGCGGTATTTCTAGCTTCCCGTTCTCTCGTGCCCGCGAATACCATTTATAGCATAGTAATATAACATCCGGTTACTTTCGCATGCGGGTAGGCTGAGTCAACTGCTAATTAGGGTACTCCGAAGGTAAAGAAAGTTTGCTTAATCACTTATAGTCAATGTGACATTTTACATCTTCCTAGAGCAGAATTTGCAAATATAATTGTCGCCGCATGGCATTCGCCCTCCCGATGAAGGAGCACTCAGTGGGTAGTGAGGCTCATGAAAAGGGCGGTTGTCACTTTCACATGGCTAAAGTTTATAATGCTATGGGCATGTATAAACTTGCTAAGTATTCCTTGTACACTTGAACAAAGCTCTTTTGAATTTTCCGTACACAAGCACGAGCAAATACAACTTGTGAAGTAAAACTTGCACGTCTGTACGGACTTTTCGTCATGTAAATTATAGAAAGGCAGGTGATGAACTTCTGAATAAACTTTGTAAAATGTGTTATTGTTTGGACTAAAAAACAATAACTTGTCAATTTCCTGATTTGCGCGTCTTAGCAGACACAGGTAAAAAGTTTTGTTAAAATAACGAGCTGGATATAGTTTATATTTTATGTATTACCAGGCTTATTATTAGCATGACAAAATTACTGGATGCTGATTGGTTGAGAGGAGTACAATTATTTCATTAATTGTACTGCAGTACAATTAATGATTTTCCCAAAACAAACAAAATGGCGGAAAAGTATTTTAAACACAAGCGTGAAATGAAATTGCCGTGAAGGAACTAGATGAAAATACGAACAAAAGCACCAAATTTTGCTTGAACAAAAGAACTAAATGAAAATACAAAAAAAAAAAAAATTGGTTGAAAGTCTGGCAGGACTGGGCTTTGGCGAGAGAATACGATGTTGACATTGAGAAGTACGTATCCAATTTTGTCATGCTAATAGTAACGGCGGCTCGTCCAATTTTGGCAAAATCTCCAAACATCACTCGTACTATTAATCCCTAATTGTACTCGCCATCGCATGATTACCTATACTAATAAACATTTTTTAGCAGAAACTGTTATTTAAAGCAAAGTGTAAGACTTTGAAAACAATGCATGCAAGCCAAATTGTAGCCCTTTGAAATGTGCGAACAGTACCAAAATGAGGCTAGTCAAGTTTGTTTGCTAAATCTACCACAAACTTAGGTATTTTTTTACATTTAGTTTGTCAAAGAGGGCACTGGTACTGTATTTATATTTCGAAAAACTGATAATCTTGCAGTATTTTATAAGGCGCCAGGGTTCAAATTAATTTTGGGGCAAAAAAGAACGACAACCATTTTCGGAATCGGTCTATGGCGAGTTGGTAGTAAATTTATCCCGGGCGTTATGTGACCCCCGTCCGCGATCAAATCAGATGATGTCAGCGGCTCAACATTTAGCATAATTAACACAATTATGGAAATTGGCGCGAACTACAAAATGGCCTCGATTATTAAAAAATAGGTTATCGAATTTTGAAAGAAGGGGGTAATTTAATAATAGTAATTTACAGTCGTACAATAGTAACTCCCCTGTATAATTGTAAAGGCAATCTTAGGAAAAATCTTAAAGAAAAAAATATGAGAACGAAAAACAAAACATTGACCATTGCGGGATTCGAACCCCAATTAGCAGCATGTAGGAATGCACGCAACGCCCTAGACCTGACTCGTCCCCAGTCGCTTACCTAACGCGCGCTGAATTACCCAACGCGCGCTGATTGATGGGAATGTGACGGCGAGGGAAGCGACTGGGAAATCCTAATTCAAGATGGCGGACGTTATAATGGCGGACGCTGTTTATCGAAGAGCGAGAAAGGGACGAAATATTTTCAAGGCCGTTTCACGAGGCGTATCTCACGAATAAAGTTGTTTGTCCGATGGCTGAATGCCTGGAAAACTTTCGTTTTTTTAAAGAAAGTGGACTTGCGCATCATTTCCGCACTGCTCACAACCGACAGATGGTGCCGCAAGATACGAAGAATTCTGAATTCAGCTTTGGCCATGAAACGTATGTTTGGCGAAGAAACTTTAAGATTTATTAAATATATCTCTTTTTAAATTGACCACTCTCCTCTGTAGAGGCTTTGTGTTTTGTTTTGGATTTTTTCAAGTCCCACGCTCTGCCTCTCAACTATTCTGCCTGCAAACTTCGAAAAAAACCAAATTAAAACACATAGCCTCTACAGAAGAAAGTGTAAATCGACCGTAATGTTGGGGGCATGTTGACTTTACCATAATTCTTTGCAAGAAGAACACATATCTTAAGAAAATATTTGAAAAGACAGCATCAAGGCCATAAAATTTATAAGATATAATCACAGCTTTTATCGATGTTATTCACCAGTCAAAGTAAACCCCGACCCCCCACCCCCACCCCGGGATATAGGTGGGGATTGGCTTTGAATACCGTACCAGACAAATGCCCC